TTGGCAGAGTTGAAGGCATTCTTGACGTCCAGGGTGCAGACGAGGCAGTACTCTTTTGAGCCACCTGGCCACCTATCTCCTTCGATTGCGTTAGCAGCCAGTTGGGTAACCGTTTGGATCGCGTCAATAGTGCTTCTTTTTCTCCGGAAGCCAAACTGGTGGTCCGATAAAGCTCTGAGTTGGTCGAGTTCTTTTTCGAGGTGGGTGCAGATTATGCGCTCGAATATTTTCCCCGTTGTATTCAGCATACATAGGGGTCTGTACGAGGATGCGTCGTCGTTCAACTTGCCCGGTTTTGGGATAAGCACCAACCTTTGTCGCTTCCAACCTATGGGGAAGGTTCGTTGGGTGAGACACATGTTGTACATCTCCTTGAATATACCAGGGAAGTTTGCCACCAATGTGTGCAGTGCAGCATTGGGAATGCCGTCGGGGCCAGGGGCTTTTTCGACTTTGGTTTTCGTTAGCGCAGCCAGGACTTCGGCTTCGCTGGTGAGAACAGTATCGCCTTCCCCGGTAGCTTGCCAGGTAAGGGGCGGCTGGGTGGGGAACAGGGTGGACACTATTTGGCCAAGCTGTACGTGGCCGGTAGGGGTCGGCTGTCTGTTGAGCTTACCCATGACCATCCTGTATGCTGACCCGAATGGCTCTGCATCCGCCGCTTCGCACAGCTCCTGGAAGCATCTGGCCTTGCTAACTTTAATCGCGTTCTTCAGCACCTTTCTCTTAGCTCTGTAGGTTGTTTCCCTTAGCTCCTGGCTTCCGCGTCCTCTGCTTCTCTGACACCTGCGCCGGGCCGCTAGGCAGTCTCTCCTCGCGCTCCCTATTTCGTCATTCCACCATGGTACTGGTCTTCGCCCGTTACCACCTTTCGTGGGCTTCTCCATAGATGCGTCGCACGCCTCCTTCACTCTCTCGGCTATGTTCCTCGCGCATGTGTTAGCGTCTTCTATAACGCAGACGCCTTCCATGTGTGCTAGGAGGGACACTGTGTTCAGGGTATGCGCTTTGTATGTCGTTTGGCGGCTGCTTGGGGCGGTCAGTCTGGGGCTTGTCTGGGTGATGATCAGGGCGTGGTCGCTGTGGGTGTATATGTCTGACACCCTCCATACACAGTTGCGTGCCAGTTCAGGGCTAGCGAAGGTCAGGTCGATGATTGACTCCCGACCTGACTTGCTGAAGGTTGGTCTATTACCTTCATTGAGTAGGCATACGTTTAACGAAGCCACTGCCTCAAGGAGGATGGTTCCCCGCTGCGTCGTACTAGCGCTGCCCCATGTTGTGGACCATGCGTTGAAATCACCTGCGATGAGGATAGGGGACCTACCGCGTGCGTCGTCAGCGATCTCCAGCATTATTGTTCTGAACTTGCTAATGTGTACGCTCGGGGCTATGTAGCAGCTGAAGAATGTTATACCGTTGATCTTCGCTCTGGTGAACCGCGTTCTGGAAGCCCTTTGCGATAGGTGTCCAGGGGGCTGCCCGCAGCTCCATATTGCCTTCTCTGCCATCCGAGCTATGTTGCCATACGCCTTCATGCCTGTCCTTGTAGGGATCACTGAGTATTGCCACCTCAGCCTGCTGCTCGATGACCGTCTGTGCTAGCAGGTCCTGCGCCTCTCTGCAGTGGTTTAGGTTGAGCTGTATGACCTTAACCATTCTGTGTATCGTGCATTGCTTTCCGGTACTCAGGCACGCCTTGCTTAGGGTCGAGTGTCCGGCCTCTCCTCCAGATTTTCCGCTTCTTGTGCATATGATGCATTTTGGTTTGGCATGGGTACAAGTTTTATACTTGTGGCCATCCTTGCCACAAGGAAGCAGGATTGCTGCGTGTTTTTGGCTATTGCCTCTGACGCTGGGCATCTGGCAGACATGTGGCCTAGTCCCATGCATTTGTAGCATCGCCTGGGCTCCATTTTCTGTCGTATGCGGTGACGATCCATCCAACCCTGATTTTGCCCTTGTCGAGGATCCGCTGCGCATGCTCAGGTCTGAGGTGGACCGTTGCCGTTTGGGTCCCGCCATACGCCTTTCGCATCCTAGGTGCAGCGCCCGCCGGGATGTCGCACTCCTCCTCAGCGAAAACTGCCTGTAATAACTCCTCGCAGGTGGTCATCTCGTCTAAGTCGCGGATTTCCACTTGCACCGTGTCCTCCAGCATAGCCACTTCGGCTTTGCCGCTGAAGGCGGACTTGATGGCTGTATGCAGTTTCTGCGTGGCTGGGTCTGAGGGTTTCTGCATCTTGAGTAGCAGACTCCCATTGGCTGTCCTTGAGCCCCTGAAGGGTAGGCTCGGTTTTGACCAGCTTGAGCATGTCTGCGTACGTTCCTTCGCTGCATTTGATTAGGATAGCGTCAGAGCGCTGCTTCCTGCGCTTCGCGGTGCGGCTCACGTGGTCTTCGCTTTTTGCGACTCACCTGCTGCCAAGGCGGGTTTCCCGGCGGGACCCTGCCTTCTTGCAGTGTGGCAAAAAGCGATGGTGTTGTCTGCTGGGTTGCGCTGGCGGTCGGGCCCCTGGCTCGGGATTTATCCAGCGTCGCACTGATCTCGCTTTTTAGCTTCTTCATTGCATGCAATGAGTCGATCGTGGCCTGTGTGACATGGCGGACAACCTTCTTGTTGTTGCTCTTTGTGTCCGTGAGAGCTGCGGCGTTTTTCTGCACCCGCTGCTTCTTGTGGGCTCCAAGGCTCGCCTCTTTAGGGCTGGTTGGTTCCAGACTTCTCTTCGGGGTGGCTTGCTCATCCTCGTTACTGCCGAAGTTGAACATTGGCCCGGTCACTTTGGGAGGCGCTGACACTGGGTGGGCATCGGGAGTCTGCTCCATCCCCGATGGCGACCGCTGCACTTTCTGTTTCATCATCTAAAACTTTTTTAGCAGCTCTTCTTCTGCCCTGGCAAGTGCAAGAGCCTGGGTCTCGTCATGTCCGAACGATATCTCCATTTCCATCGCCTGCACTAGTCGGAGGTCCCTCGGTGAGCCAAGATTTCCCCCGGTTACTGCCCGTTTGAGCTGGCGCCGCTACCGCGGTGGGGTTGGAAATTGGCCGGTAATTTGGCTTTTTGCTCATCTACCCCTGTAGGCAGTGGCGGAGGTGGTTAGGTTGGATTTGGGATTTGTCTGTTTTATTTTAGTTTTAATTTCCCGGGCAACCGACTTCGTAGAAGCTCCCGCTTAGCCGCTGTAGAGCTCAGCGGGGAAAACTTACTGTTAAGCTCGCTGTTAGAAGCGGCGCTGTCCAGCACTGCGATCAGCTGATCGATGTTGTTTTTTTGTGCCGGAAAACCGCGCGTGTGCGGCTTGTGGAAGCTGTGAGCAGCACCAAATATATGTGGCGCTCTGGAGTGGAGCGTTAGTTTGTGGGTGCGGGAGAGTGAGGATCCCCTCTTCTGCCCACCAGACTTGGCCACCCTTTGCAAGCGTTGCACTGTGGTTTGTTGGCTGGGTAGAACCTTCCTGTCGCGTCTGTGGTACGTACCTGCAACCTGAGGTGTTCCGCACTAATCAAACGCACTTTTAGGTATCTAACACGGCTTACCAAAAACTCGATTTATTGGCGAACGATGTTCAGGTCAACTTAACTGGGTGAGAGATGAAGTGTCTGTTCGCAGTATGCATATCTGTCTGTGTGTGTTTGTGTCTTTTTGTGTCTGTCTGTGTCTTTTTGTGTCTGTCTGTGTCTGTCTGTGTCTGTCTGTTTCTGTCTTTGTCTGTCTGTGTCTGTCTGTGTCTGTCTGTGTCTGTCTGTGTCTGTCTGTGTCTGTCTGTGTCTGTCTGTGTCTGTCTGTGTCTGTCTGTGTCTGTCTGTGTCTGTCTGTGTCTGTCTGTGTCTGTCTGTGTCTGTCTGTGTCTGTCTGTGTCTGTCTGTGTCTGTCTGTGTCTGTCTGTGTCTGTCTGTGTCTGTCTGTGTCTGTCTGTGTCTGTCTGTGTCTGTCTGTGTCTGTCTGTGTCTGTCTGTGTCTGTCTGTGTCTGTCTGTGTCTGTCTGTGTCTGTCTGTGTCTGTCTGTGTCTGTCTGTGTCTGTCTGTGTCTGTCTGTGTCTGTCTGTGTCTGTCTGTGTCTGTCTGTGTCTGTCTGTGTCTGTCTGTGTCTGTCTGTGTCTGTCTGTGTCTGTCTGTGTCTGTCTGTGTCTGTCTGTGTCTGTCTGTGTCTGTCTGTGTCTGTCTGTGTCTGTCTGTGTCTGTCTGTGTCTGTCTGTGTCTGTCTGTGTCTGTCTGTGTCTGTCTGTGTCTGTCTGTGTCTGTCTGTGTCTGTCTGTGTCTGTCTGTGTCTGTCTGTGTCTGTCTGTGTCTGTCTGTGTCTGTCTGTGTCTGTCTGTGTCTGTCTGTGTCTGTCTGTGTCTGTCTGTGTCTGTCTGTGTCTGTCTGTCTGTGTATGTCTGTCTGTGTCTGTCTCTCTGTGTCTGTCTGTCTGTCGATTTTTGATTTATAAATTTTATATTTTAAGATGGAGTTGCAATCAGGATCAGGATCACTAGTTGAGTCGATCTAGCCATGTTCGTCTGTTCGTATAAACGCTAAGATCTAAGCACGCAGATTCTTGGGGTTCCTGCGCAGCACAAGTTTGTTTTAGTAAGGTGCCTCTGCCAGTCTAACGCCCACAATCGAGCACAACACCAAACCCCGTCCAGCGACCATTTTTTTAAATATTTTGTAAAAATTTAAATAGGAGTTTTTTTTGGTGTTTGAAATGGGTCCATTTCTTAAAAATGTTATAGCCAAATCAAAATCAATATATTGCAAATTCATTTGAGATTGCACACCACATGCAGCAAATCAGCTGTTTTTACTAGTACGACACCGGCTATTGGGGGTATTTGGTGTTATGGGCTAGGGGGCGCTAAGTGGTGCCAGGTGGTGCTATGTGGCGCTAGTCACAAGTAAGCATATCTCCATCCCTCTTGCACTCTCTTTAGCTGAGTAACGGGTATTTGATAGTCGGTGGCATCGAATATAGCGTTCTCTGTTGCTTTACGTAAAATATTTGTTAAGCAAGTAATCATGTGTATTACGGTTTGGCCCAACAAAAACTTTTAAGTCCGAATTTTCGATATAACCTAACTAGAATTCTAACATAACTTCTTGGGGTATAAACTTCACTTCGACGAAAATTGTACCAATCCAAAGTCCTGATCAAACTGTAAGCACAACGCCAACATACAAGACAATCACTCCCCACTCGACAAAGAATGCCCAACATTCATCAAGAAGAAAGAAATCGTAGCCATAAAAAAATTGAAAGTGTCGACTTCAAAACCGCACTAAGTATTTACGATCAACGCCACACACATAAACCAACAACATACTCTAAGCCCCTTCAACAACAACCTAAACCTACAACATCAACACAATCAACAAACATCACCCCGTCAACCTCAAATAACACTCAAACACAGCCAAATAGGAAAATCACGAACTATGACGACCTCCACGCTCACCCAAATAAACCACAATAATTGGCCTATACATCGGAAGATGTGTCTATAACTGACTCTGCTAATCGCAACCAAAATAGAAGACACATCCCTGAAACAGACCGTAAGCTCAGATCCAAAATAAAAAACAAGTTCAACCTCCCCACTAAACCACCAACACCAACCTCATAATCAACTGACCAAAATAATCAAACTAAAGTCAATTTAGAAAATAAGTTAGAAAAACGGTAACCTATTTTTAAAACATAATTTAACTTTAAAACTTAATGCTTAAAATTAAACATGGTTACAGAAACAATTATATAGATCCTAAACCCCCCGAAAAATTTTGCCCTTCAAGAAACACACATTACAAACTTTTGCTCAATTCCTACCCCTATAAACTACACCCTCTACACCAGCAAAAATAACCACAATAGTTTTGGAGGCACCGCCCTGGTAATTCACAATTCCATACCTCAGAACGAAATCTCCGTTAGCTTAGGCTTTGACGTGGTCGGAGTTTCCACACAGTCCAAATCCAAATTTAACATTATTTCAGCCTATATCTCCCCCTCCAAACTCTTTAACGCAAATCACTTGGCAATTGATCTTGATTCGCCGAACGACCAAACCCTAGTGTTGGGTGACTTCAACAGCTGGCACCCTTATTGGGGCTCAACAAAATCCAACATAAGAGGCATGACTTTAGCCATCTACATTGACCGTTCTAATTACATATTACTAAGGACAAATCTCCAAACGACCTCCATGACTTTCCCATATTAATCTCAATATTCCGCAACCAAACTGTCAAAACCTTTACCGCAAAATCCTCTTTTAAACTAAAAGATGCCGATTGGAACCAATTCTATGAAATAATCACGAGAATTACGGAAAGCATCCATAGCTTAAATGTCAACCAAGAAGCGGCTATTATCAAAAAAATACTTATTATAAGTGCTCACCTATCCATTCCCCAAAACTCCACTGTAGGCAGTGGCGGAGGTGGTTAGGATGGATTTGGGATTTGTCTGTTTTATTTTAGTTTTAATTTCCCGGGCAACCGACTTCGTAGAAGCTCCCGCTTAGCCGCTGTAGAGCTCAGCGGGGAAAACTTACTGTTAAGCTCGCTGTTAGAAGCGGCGCCGTCCAGCACTGCGATCAGCTGATCGATGTTGTTTTTTTGTGCCGGAAAACCGCGCGTGTGCGGCTTGTGGAAGCTGTGAGCAGCACCAAATATATGTGGCGCTCTGGAGTGGAGCGTTAGTTTGTGGGTGCGGGAGAGTGAGGATCCCCTCTTCTGCCCACCAGACTTGGCCACCCTTTGCAAGCGTTGCACTGTGGTTTGTTGGCTGGGTAGAACCTTCCTGTCGCGTCTGTGGTACGTACCTGCAACCTGAGGTGTTCCGCACTAATCAAACGCACTTTTAGGTATCTAACACGGCTTACCAAAAACTCGATTTATTGGCGAACGATGTTCAGGTCAACTTAACTGGGTGAGAGATGAAGTGTCTGTTCGCAGTATGCATATCTGTCTGTGTGTGTTTGTGTCTTTTTGGTGTCTGTCTGTGTCTTTTTTGTTGTCTGTCTGTGTCTTTTTTGTTTGTCTGTCTGTGTCTGTCTGTGTCTGTTTGTTTTGTCTTTTTTTGTGTCTGTCTGTGTCTGTCTTTGTGTCTGTCTGTGTCTGTCTTGTCTGTCTGGTCTGTCTGTGTCTGTCTGTGTCTGTCTGTGTCTGTCTGTGTCTGTCTGTGTCTGTCTGTGTCTGTCTGTGTCCTGTCTGTGTCTGTCTGTGTCTGTCTGTGTCTGTCTGTGTCTGTCTGTGTCTGTCTGTGTCTGTCTGTGTCTGTCTGTGTCTGTCTGTGGTCTGTCCTGTGTCTGTCTGTGTCTGTCTGTGTCTGTCTGTGTCTGTCTGTGTCTGTCTGTGTCTGTCTGTGTGTCTGTCTTGTGTCTGTCTGTGTCTGTCTGTGTCTGTCTGTGTCTGTCTGTGGTCTGTCTGTGTCTGTCTGTGTCTGTCTGTGTCTGTCTGTGTCTGTCTGTGTCTGTCTGTGTCTGTCTGTGTCTGTCTGTGTCTGTCTGTGTTTCTGTTTGTCTGTGTCTGTCTGTGTCTGTCTGTGTCTGTCTGTGTCTGTCTGTGTCTGTCTGTGTCTGTCTGTGTCTGTCTGTGTCTGTCTGTGTCTGTCTGTGTCTGTCTGTGTCTGTCTGTGTCTGTCTGTGTCTGTCTGTGTCTGTCTGTGTCTGTCTGTGTCTGTCTGTGTCTGTCTGTGTCTGTCTGTCTGTGTATGTCTGTCTGTGTCTGTCTCTCTGTGTCTGTCTGTCTGTCGATTTTTGATTTATAAATTTTATATTTTAAGATGGAGTTGCAATCAGGATCAGGATCACTAGTTGAGTCGATCTAGCCATGTTCGTCTGTTCGTATAAACGCTAAGATCTAAGCACGCAGATTCTTGGGGTTCCTGCGCAGCACAAGTTTGTTTTAGTAAGGTGCCTCTGCCAGTCTAACGCCCACAATCGAGCACAACACCAAACCCCGTCCAGCGACCATTTTTTTAAATATTTTGTAAAAATTTAAATAGGAGTTTTTTTTGGTGTTTGAAATGGGTCCATTTCTTAAAAATGTTATAGCCAAATCAAAATCAATATATTGCAAATTCATTTGAGATTGCACACCACATGCAGCAAATCAGCTGTTTTTACTAGTACGACACCGGCTATTGGGGGTATTTGGTGTTATGGGCTAGGGGGCGCTAAGTGGTGCCAGGTGGTGCTATGTGGCGCTAGTCACAAGTAAGCATATCTCCATCCCTCTTGCACTCTCTTTAGCTGAGTAACGGGTATTTGATAGTCGGTGGCATCGAATATAGCGTTCTCTGTTGCTTTACGTAAAATATTTGTTAAGCAAGTAATCATGTGTATTACGGTTTGGCCCAACAAAAACTTTTAAGTCCGAATTTTCGATATAACCTAACTAGAATTCTAACATAACTTCTTGGGGTATAAACTTCACTTCGACGAAAATTGTACCAATCCAAAGTCCTGATCAAACTGTAAGCACAACGCCAACATACAAGACAATCACTCCCCACTCGACAAAGAATGCCCAACATTCATCAAGAAGAAAGAAATCGTAGCCATAAAAAAATTGAAAGTGTCGACTTCAAAACCGCACTAAGTATTTACGATCAACGCCACACACATAAACCAACAACATACTCTAAGCCCCTTCAACAACAACCTAAACCTACAACATCAACACAATCAACAAACATCACCCCGTCAACCTCAAATAACACTCAAACACAGCCAAATAGGAAAATCACGAACTATGACGACCTCCACGCTCACCCAAATAAACCACAATAATTGGCCTATACATCGGAAGATGTGTCTATAACTGACTCTGCTAATCGCAACCAAAATAGAAGACACATCCCTGAAACAGACCGTAAGCTCAGATCCCAAATAAAAAACAAGTTCAACCTCCCCACTAAACCACCAACACCAACCTCATAATCAACTGACCAAAATAATCAAACTAAAGTCAATTTAGAAAATAAGTTAGAAAAACGGTAACCTATTTTTAAAACATAATTTAACTTTAAAACTTAATGCTTAAAATTAAACATGGTTACAGAAACAATTATATAGATCCTAAACCCCCCGAAAAATTTTGCCCTTCAAGAAACACACATTACAAACTTTTGCTCAATTCCTACCCCTATAAACTACACCCTCTACACCAGCAAAAATAACCACAATAGTTTTGGAGGCACCGCCCTGGTAATTCACAATTCCATACCTCAGAACGAAATCTCCGTTAGCTTAGGCTTTGACGTGGTCGGAGTTTCCACACAGTCCAAATCCAAATTTAACATTATTTCAGCCTATATCTCCCCCTCCAAACTCTTTAACGCAAATCACTTGGCAATTGATCTTGATTCGCCGAACGACCAAACCCTAGTGTTGGGTGACTTCAACAGCTGGCACCCTTATTGGGGCTCAACAAAATCCAACATAAGAGGCATGACTTTAGCCATCTACATTGACCGTTCTAATTACATATTACTAAGGACAAATCTCCAAACGACCTCCATGACTTTCCCATATTAATCTCAATATTCCGCAACCAAACTGTCAAAACCTTTACCGCAAAATCCTCTTTTAAACTAAAAGATGCCGATTGGAACCAATTCTATGAAATAATCACGAGAATTACGGAAAGCATCCATAGCTTAAATGTCAACCAAGAAGCGGCTATTATCAAAAAAATACTTATTATAAGTGCTCACCTATCCATTCCCCAAAACTCCACCTTTACCCAACCCCGCACCGTTCACCTCAAAAAAAAAAAACAAAATAAAAAAATTGGAATAAACTCAATAGAGAATTTAACACACTTAACATTATGGAGTATAAAAAACCAAATGCAAAAATCAAAAGATCCATCAGAGAAGTTAAAAAAACAGTATACAACAATTTACCTCCGACATCAATCCATACTCAAACCCAAATAAAACATGGGTAAACATCAAAAGACTATGTGGGCTATACCAGCAAAAATACATCCACTGCCTAAACATCCCTACTCCCACAATAGACCCACTAGAAATCTATAATTCTTTTGGTCAAACCTGGTCAGAAGAAGCCGTCGATCACAACTTCTCCGCAACTTTCCGTCTCAACAAAGAAGTCCTTAATGCAACCCCAAGCTACATCCCTACCAAAACGGCAATAGAAATCGAAAAGGATATTACTTTCATAGAATTCTCCTCAGAACTTAGCACACTGAAAGGTAGAACTCCAGGTCACGACCTGCATGATTAAGAACTTGCCCACCACTTTTAAACACAGAATTATTTACCTTTACAATAAAATACTCTCCTCACATATCCCCCAATCATTTAAGCTCAGCCTGGTCCCACCCATCTTAAAACCACAAAAACCCCAAACTTACATAAAATCTTACAGACCCATCTCTCTGAACTTATGCCTAGCCAAAATCCTCGACAAAATAATTGCAAAAAGGTTGTGGTGCTTCGTTCTAAACAACGATCTCATTCACAACAGCCTAATCGGCTTAAGGAGAAAACCTGTACTAGACAGTCTACTTTATGTAGACCACCTAGCCTTCAGAACCATTGCCCTCAAGAAACACCTTACAATTATTTCACTCGATTTCACTAAGGCCTTCGACAAAATTGGCATGCATACAGTCATACAGCAAACTACAAGTTTGGAAAATAAGTGCTCCTATGTGATAAACATCATGACAAATGGAAAAGTTATAGTCAAAACCGACACCAATCTCTCCAATACCTTCCCCCGCAACGATGGGATCCCGCAAGGCTCACCAATTTCTGTTATCCTATTCCTTTTAGCATACAACTCCCTTACAAATATCATCTCTCCCCATAGAAATTAAGTTCTGCGCTTACGCAGACGACTTTCATTACATTATTAAACACAACAAACACAAAAACCCCACAACGAGCTTAACAGACACCTTTAACCAAATCAACGAGTGGTACACTCACTCAGGCTTAGTCCTTTCCGAAAACAAATGCCAGATACTTCATATATGCCGGAAACACAAATGCAACGCTAAGATACTAACAGGAGACACCACTATACCAACCACCGACACCCTCAAAATACTAGGATTCACAATCAATAACAGATACAAATGGAACCTACACATATCCAAGTTAAAATCCGATCTTTCCAAGCCATTGGGGATAGTTAAACACCTTTCGTCCCACAAATACATTACCAACACCGCTGCTCTCATCCAAGTCATAAAATCACTCCTCATTCCCAAGATAGACTACTGCCTTCCAATTTATGGACACGCATCCAAATCACAATTAAACAGAATTAAAACTTCCCTTGATTCAGCAATAAGTGGAGGTCTTAGAGCATTCCGTTCCACGCCAATAAACAACCTTCTAACACAAGCGAGACTTTTTAAAATCCAATGACACACCCTTAAAAAAAAATAAATGCAAAACATTTAATATGGATAGCATTATGAAGGCAACCAACACCACCCTATCTAAATACAATAAAAATACAACACCACCAACCATTTTTCATCAACTCTTTCGCGCCATCAAATCCTCGTATCCCAACCATAACTTCGTCTATACCGACGGCTCCAAATCTGGAGGGTTAACAACCTACAGAAAAGATACAATCAAACTGGGTCTCCTGCCTCTCTCTCTCTATTTCTCAGTTCTTTCGAGTGATGATAATAGCAATTCAGGAAGCCATAAGAATATGTGTAAGGATGCCAGGCAGACATGTTATATGCACAGACTCCTTCTCCTCCATCTCCTCGATCACCAACCATAACAACCATTCGCAATATGCCACCTCAGTCAGAAACATAGTCACCAAACACTTCCCAAAAATCTCTCTGGTCTGGGTACCTAGCCACATAGGACTCGAAGGTAATGAAAACGCAGACGAGGCAGCTTAACTGGACTCTAAATTTCCATTAACCCTCACTGCCAACAACAACTCCAACGACATTACTCACTTCTTAAAAAAGGACTAAAGGATAAACTAACTAACATTCTTAGTTCAAAATCTAACTGGTACCAACAAATTGCTAAATTATCCACGTCCGATTCCCCCCATAAAAACTTTCCTTTGAGCAGAAGGCAAGAAATAATAATAAACAGACTCAGACTAGGACACACAATCCTAACCAATGCCCACTACCTTGGCACTTCTAAAAACAATTTGTGCCCGTTCTTGCCCCTCCCTCTCCACACAACGTTCTCAATCCTTTCACAACCCAGATCCCATCCTATCTATAGCTAACCCCGCAATCGACAACTTCAACATCATCTCAAACTTCCTGATCAAATCAAAAATTATTTATAAAAAATAGTTGTAATAAAATAAAAATTAATCATAATAAAGAACAAAATAAAATAATAATAAATGTATATTAGAATCAAGCATAAAAATAAAACATTGTAAATATCTAACCATGAACAAAATAAGCTTGATTCAAATAGTCCAAAGAAAAAAAAATTAAATGATACTGAAGAGCTGAAGTCCTATAGCTGCTATAGCTCATGCCCATTGTTAGCATTTAGTTAAGAATTACTTGTTAGCATTATATAAACAAGTAAATATGTTACAACCTAATATCACATATCTAAGGTCGCTTTAAAGGAGTTGAGTATAATTTTTAAGAATTTTTAAGGTAATGTACATAAAATTAAGATTTCAGTTAAAAAATTGGAAAAAGAAATCGCCAATATTCTTTAAAACAATAAAAAAACTTGTTTAGTTTAATTAATTAATTTTAATTCCTTTAAAATTGAATATATCAAGCTCAGAAAAAACAACTTTTTAATGTTGCGTCGTTTAAGTTATAAGTTAATGCCACAAAAACTGGTCAAATTTCTTACAGTGAAGTGGCTGCACGAAATGTAGTACTACAGAACACACTCATGGATGTGTCTGGGGTGCAGAGGCGATCGTTCGTGAAAGAGAAATCATTGTGGTACGACTGCTTGCGACCTGGTCAACAGGTGCAAGTCAACATACAAATGCAGACAATGCGAAGGAAATAATTACTTCCTTTATCTTGTCCAACCGAATACACAGGCTATTGGGAATCTTTTAATTATATATGCCCAAGTGCTAGCAGAATCATATCGTCAATGGAACGGCAACATAACGACGCATCGACTCTCGAGGTGCTTACAGATCCGCAGTTGGCAGATACACTCGCTTTCGAATATACAAATTCGCATTCTCAGTGGACATCGTATACATTTTCCGCCAAACACGGGTAATCGAAAGGCCCAGAAACTAACAGAAAAAAGTTTTAAGAGAGGATCCATCCGACGCGATTGCGCAAATCTACCTCATTCATACAAACGGATGATACCGACCCACAATAGTCCCTAGTTAAAGTTCTTGGACTATACTGGCATCCTGCGAAAGACATTCTAGCGTACCTCGACTACACAAAGAGACAAGTCTTGTCCTACATCTTGAGGATATTTGAATCTCTTGATTGATAATCCAGTTACCGATTCTTTTCCAAATACTTTGGCTCTTGAACTTAGATTGGGATGAACCCCTCCTATCTAATCTTGCGGACAACTGGCCGAAGTGAAGAGCAGATCTAGACATTCTTCAAAAATTACAATTAACAGGCTTCGTTGCCAACGACGCAGACAACATCGAGGTTCACGGATTTTCGGATGCTTCAAGCAACGCGTACACTGCTGTGGTATAGAGCAGATTTACAAATGACGATGGCTCCATTTCGGTGGCTGCGAAAACAACGCTGACTCCACTGAAACAGAAATCTTTTACAATCCTAGAACTATGTGTATCATTTCTTTTAGACCAACTTATACGCTCAATCCCTTATGGATCCCTGCCACAAGAACATATCTGTTTTTGACTGACATATCAATAGTGACATATCAATATCTTGCGGAAATGGTTGTGTAACTCTTGCAAAATAGATAAAGTGCACTTTTTCTTTGGGTTTGCATTTAAAGCACTGAAGTGAAATCGAAAGCTTTTCATCATTTTCATAAATAATTTTCACCCGCCTAGCCATAAAATGAGGTTCCTCCTTATTGTGCCCCTATTTCAGACACATTTTTCAAATAGACCCACTCCAAGAACTGCGACAATCACAACAACAACCACAGAAGATTCTCAGACTCCGGTCTGGCAACCCACTGCGACAATATTAATGGTAGTGCTATTGGAGCATTAAAACTGGATTTGATCGATAAATACAAATAGAAGGAAAACAAGGAAGAACGCTATAGTCGAGTACTTCGACTATCAGACACCTGTTACTCAGCTAAAGGGACCAAAGAGAAATGGAAATATGCAAGCAGCAAAGCGAAATTGACATGCGCCCCCTACCCGCGATCTCAATATATGGATATGTGGGAGGTAGACTGATTAAAGCGTTATGGGCGTTAGAGTGGGCTTTTTTTTGGATCAATCGTGGGCGGCAGAGTAGCCGTCGCATATTCGCGTAACAAACTTGCGCTGCGTAAAAGGCTACGGAATCTAGATCTGAAATCCCAATTCTCTATCTTTGATAGTTTGCGAGATATCCGCGTTCATACTTACGATTTTTTGAATTTTGTGGGTGTTGAATGGGCGAAGAAGATACTGCTCAGACACCTAGGGACAAGCAAGTAGGACCACCGACCGAACTGGTAAAAAAAACAACTGGCATACGCAAATTTTATGTAAGGTCCATAAAAAGGGCCACATAAATTAAAAAAACTCAGGTCAACGACGAAAAAAATGATCGATCCTTGACCAAACAACTCGACGATGGTGATGGAGGGCTTTGAAGTTAAAGCTGCCATGAATTTAATAAACAGATTCCTAACCCAATGCTCAAAGTTAAACTGGCAACCAACAGTAAGCCTTTAAGTAAAAATTACAGGTTTTAGTGTTGTGGTCGATTGTGGGCGTTAGAGTGGGCGTGGCACCCTACTGAAACAAATCAGAACCAAATCGCATTTACAATTTGCAAAATTTTCAAAAATGTGGGTAGTAGAAAAATGTTAGCGTTATGGGCGTTTGTTAGAGTGGCCGCGGCACTCCCATGAAACAAACTTGCGCTGTACAGGAAGCCCAAGAATCTGCATTATTAATTCCAACATTCTAGCGTCCACTGTAAGGCTCACCATCAGTACAAGATCGTCCGTATGAACACTGATTTCTTGGGAACTATAAAAGCTGAATGGCATAGGATTTAATCATTTAGACTTAAGAGATTTTTGGGCAGCGCAAGTGTTTTTCAGCAGGGTGGCCCACTCTAATGCCCAGAAACCGCCCAAAAATGTCCGTATAAACGCTAATATCTCGGAAGCTAAAAAAACTAGAAAGCTTATGGATGAGGCATGTAAATTCTAAAGATTCTTACGAGGAGTATGTGTGTTTCAGAACACAAAACTGTGGCACCCACATTTTCAAAGATTTAATATTAAAATAAGCTTTTGTCTTATTCTTCTTGTCCATATTTATCGGCACGCCGAAAATAGTTAAAATCGGAACAATGAGTTCAAAACTATTATAATTAGTAGATTTAACCAAAAAAAAGTTTTGTGTATAAACAAAACAAAATATTGTTTTTCCGTTATATAACAGTTGTTCTTGTGGACTTTAGAGAGGGAGAGGCACTTTGCGCTGAAACAGAATATTGGGATTCAGAATGTCAAGTCTCAACTCTGTAGCTCTTTAAGTTTCCAAAATAACTGTGTTCCCACAAACAGACGGATAGAGATAGATCGACTCGGCTAGTGATCCTGATCAATAATATATATCAATGTTAGGGTCGGAAACGTATTCTAATACTTGTTACATTCTTTTCATGAAACATATTTTTACTCTACTAAATACAAACCATAATAATATAAATTGTATGTTTTTTCAGTAAATTACTTTTAAAGGACACACACGCTTGTTTTTATCCTTATTACTCTGCGACCAATATTGATCGACTTGTGTCTTCAGGATACAATCATAGTCAGACAAAGGAAAATTTATCACAAAGGAAAGTATATAAGCTTACTGCTACCTTTATTACAGACAAATCAATAATATCTCGGGGCTCACACGACCTATGGAAATGATGAACCGCAGAGGGAAGCAGTTTCCGGATTAAAGGGTGCCTACAAAAATCCTATTTGGCACTATTTCCATTATATATATCATACCCTTTTTGTTTGATAACTGTTGGTTTCACGTTCAACATCATACCAATCCAAGGAAGAGCGCTGTAGTCGAGTGCCTCAGCTAAGCAACTTTTTTCGAGATTAGAAGACGCGTCCTAAAAGGACTCGGCAACATTTTTTGGGTCAGTCGATAGGTACTCACGAGAGCAATACATATCAACTAATTTGCGTGCAGATTCTGGAGATTCCTGCGCAGCGATAATTAGTTCGTCAGGGTGCCACTCCCACAAGATGCCCAAAAGTGTGCGTCTTACTATTTAAATTCTAGATTAAAAAAATATTTAACTGAAATTTATTGTTCTCATCAATATCTATCGATTGCCCAAAAAAAAAAAACAAAGAATCGGGATTTCAAATTTAGATTCCGTAGCTTTGTACGCACCGCAAGTTTGTTACGTGAATATGTCACGCCCCCTCTGACACCCACAACTGTATTTTACAGTTTTCATGCTAACAAAAAATGTTTAACTTTAAGCCTAGTACTCAGATCGACGAAAACCGTAAGCTAGCTATAGGAGTGAGCGAGAGGCAAATACGCAGCTAATGCTTTTCGTCGGGTCTGTTTTTTAGCGCGGTACTCAGATAAGCTAAGGAAATACCAGAAAAAATACCTGATTTCGCGATTAAATTTTCGATGAACGCCGTTAGCCGCGGACCAAAGAATAAGAAATTTAATCTTGGGAGGTGTTCGTGCAAAGGCGATGTGGAATCTACAAATCAAAAATGGAAGGAAAACCCCGAAATCGAATGAAGGAGGTCAGTGAAGATAAAATAAGACGCCAAATCCAAGCTTATGCCCTTTATTGTGGGATTTCACCGACAGGAAGCAATTCCACAAAAGGGGCAAAGATCTTTTTAGCAGAACCACCACGATCTCCGACGACCTCTCCATTAGGACTACGGACACCACCACCACCAGCTACTTGGCAGCTTAAGCGGAGCTGGAGGACCCGCTGGCTTCTATAGGGAGGAGGACAAAAGGGCACCCGCTAAGGAAGAGTTGGAGAAGCCAAAGCCAGTCACTGCCAGGATGCTGGGCGACTTCCTGCAGCGTCAGCGGATCAACCCCGATCTCGGAGCTGTACTGCGGTGAAGCGGGAAAGAGGCGAAGCATCCGTGGGACGAGAAGAATTGATTTGTTTACCGTTTGGCAACAAACCCAGCTGCTTGACAGTAAGACCTGCTACATGCATTGCTGGTGAACTTTGAAAACTTCGGTCACACTACAAAGAATAAGATTTTTCGACTAGTGAAACTCTTAGCCGATCTGAGTACTAGGCTTAAACCTTAAAAAGAAGTTCGCCACGCCCGCTCTAACGGCCATAAACTCCTAAAACTAATAGCCGTCCACATAACCATATCTTGAGACCGCTGGTAGGTGGCGCATTGTAATCTCGCTTTACTGCCTGTATATCTTCATCTCGATTTGGTCCTTTTAGCTGAATTACGGTTATTATACGATATCTTTATTAAGTCCACCACATTCAAATAACCTAGAATCAAATAGAAAATCATTGCAAGTATTTGTTTGCGCACTTTGCGGGTTTATTTTTTGAAGTTTGTTGGAGAGTGTAGGGCGAGAGTGTAGGGCTCTCGTGAATTCGTCCCATCTCTCGGCTTAGGGAATGTAAAATGAAATTATTATTACTATTATAAAAAGTTCGACTATAATGTAAAATTTACAGGCGACTTTAAGTTAAGCAATAGCTACGTGGCCTTAAGCTTAAAAACTAGTTAACAAAATTCAATATAAATTTCATAACAACATTTATCTATAACTTCACAAGCTTATTAAATTTCATTAATTATATTATTATAGCTAAGGAATTTTATAATTTTTTTTATTTGTGGCGCGCTGGGGATGAATATGGATTGTAAGGGGTTTGTGGAAGTGAAAAGAGACGATCTTATGGAATCGAGATAGGAACATTCTGTTAGGATGTGTTGAGGAGTTCTTATTTCGTTGTTGCATAGGGGGCAAGAGGGTCTTGTGGGAGGGCGAGTAAAAAGGTAGCTGTGGGTTAAGTTAGTGTGTCCTAACCGAAGACGTACAATTTTTGTGAAGGTATGACGGGGGATGAATAGGTCGGCTTGGAGTCGACCATAATTGTATATATTGTTTTGATCTGTATTGTTTGATTTGTAATATGTATTTGTTTGGTTAAAAAGAGAAGTCTGTAGTTCTTTATAGTGTTTTTTAATTTGTTTTAGGATATCTGATATGTTCAGGTTGTCGTAGAATGTCAGGGGCAATGCAAAGGCGTTTTTGGCGTTTTCATCAGCAACTTCGTTGCCTTGTATGCCGCAGTGACCAGGGATCCATTTAATGGTTATTTTGTTAACGTTTTTTAACAGAATTTGTCTGATTGTGGCTGGGTAGAAGGAATTATTGGAGGGATTTGCTATAGCATTTAACGCCGACAGGGAGTCGGAACAGATTACTGAGGAGTTTGGTGAGTGTTGAGCTAAAAGGACTGCATTGTAGATAGCAATGATTTCGGCAGAGAAGATGGAGCTATAGTATGGTAGTAAGTGCTGTTGGCTTATGTCGTCGGATACTACACTAAAGGATGTCGCGCCTGAAATTTTGGAACCATCGGTGTAGATGAATGTGCTGGTCGGGTATTTGTTTTTGAATTCGAGAAACTTTTGCTGGTAGACTAGTTGCGGAGTGGTGGCTTTCGGTAGTTTACGCAGAGTTGTATCTATCAAATTGGATACATCCGACCAAGGTGGGTTAACGGGTTTTTTAGAAATGGGTGGTTTTGTTGGTAAACCAAGTTCTACGGCGAAATTCAAGGCTCTGAGGACGACAGATGGAATCTTTGGGATTCGCTTCTTTCTTTTTAATATTTTGGTAACTATCGATTTTAGCGTAGAGTTATGGGAGAGTAGGATGGGTTTTATAGTTTTGGAGATACAAAACTTGGTTCGGATATCTATTGGCATCATGTTAGACTCGAAGAGAATGTTATTGATAGGGGTGGTTCGAAAAGCACCTAGAGCTGATCTGATGGCAGAGTGGTAAATGCTTTTAATTGGCTTAATTGTGGATGTTGTGCAATGGATAGTGGATATTCGAAGTTGGCAGGAGTGTTTTTTACAAAAATGAAGGTGTTTGCACTTGTTGAGTGAGAGGACAGCGCCGGAGTATTCACACCAAGTTTGGATATCATTAAGGAGGGGGTCAATATTTATTTGAGTGTCTTTGTTTATCTTTTTAAATATGTGATAATCGTCGGAGTAGGCGCAAAAGTTAAATTGTTTGTGATTAAGGATAACTAGATTTAGTTTGTTAAACGCGATGAGGAAATGAAATTAAAGGCAGTTGTTATATGAGAATCATTGCGCACTCTCTTTCGTCGTCGGGTTTTTTAATACAAATTAGTATTAAATGTTCATGGTGACCCCGACGTGATTTGCAGTGGAACTCGAGTTATTTTTTAGTTGAAACAAACGAACTACATAACAAACCCATATCGCGCCGGCTTTCTTAAAACATTGAAGTTGTTGTTGCGATTTATGTCCATGCCTAGGATTTATTGCTGCCGATTTGATTTGTTGCTGCCGATTGGATTTGTTGCTTCCGCTGGAAAAGTTTTGGCCGCTGTTTAGCTGCAGTTTTTTGGGTTTTAATCGCCGCTGTTGTTCCTAATCGTTGTTAGCTGGACCGTTCTTGTTGTTGTGCTGCTCATCGCCAAGTTCGCCGCTCGTTAGTTCCCGACGGATGAGAATCGTCCAAGTAGGTATACAGTGCTGAAAGTTGAAAGTTAATCTGTGGCGTGTCGTAAATTACGTTTTGGCCCATCTTTCAACTTTTTGCATTCGTGTGAAAAAATTCGGTGAACATTCACAAAGAAATAAATAAAACTTGCATGCACTAACGATTATAATTCTAATATATACTTACATCCATACAAACATATTTCGAATTAAACATATATGTTTATATATATATAAGTGAATCGCTTTGGACCTAAATCAAATAAATATTTGTCAGCGACCTGGTTTTTTGAAAATAAAAATTCCTATTTGTCGTCGTAGTGAGCACCAATTTGAGTTTAGAAAATATTTAAAGTGGTAAAAGTTGAGAATTGTGAAAAGTTCTGATTCAAGAACTAAGTTCCCGTCCAATTTTCTGCAGCGCTTTATTCTCAAGCCTAACTCGCTTTTCCCTTTAAGCGTCAGGTTTAAATATTCGTTGCCCTTAGTTATCGGTGGGTGCATCATTCTCCGTTAGCATTGTGTTGAGCCGCCAGCCGTACACACACTGACAGCGCTGCCCGTTCTTTCGAGTTCTCTTTCGCCGTTTTCGTTTCGATCGCTGGAACGGTGCAAGCGTTACTCCTGCCTAAACCCTTGTTCGTTTTTTTGTGTGTGTTGGCGTGTGCTCCCCTACACAACGTGCGCTTTGCATATTATTGTTATTGAATTATTAAAATAATACGGTTCCCTAAATTTATTTAGTTTATTATAAACAACTCCCTTACACTGCTTGCCTTCGACTTGTTCCTCTCGTTGGTTATAATTAATGTAAATGTCAAAGCACTTAAAAAAATATTTAAAAAATGCCAAAACCAGAAACTGGTAAAAAGGAAAACGAAGAGTTGAAAAACCAACGAGCTGGATATATGAGGAGTATAGAGCGAATGCAAATATATTTAAATGAGAGTCGATTCTCGTTAAATACGTTTGAGTAAGAGTGTCAATTAGGAATCCTAAGTACGCACATTGAAAATGCTTCGCTTGTCCAAAATAAAATCGAAGCGAATGATGGAGATAAAATGTACCGCGAAGAGTTAGAAGAGACTGCTATAAT